GTGGGCTGTGCATTCAGGGAAAACTGAATAGCCACATGCAAAAGAATGAAATTGGACCACGATCTTATACCATACACAAAAATCAACTCAAAATGGATTAAAATCTTAAATTTAAGAACCTGAAACCATACAACTCCTAGAAGAAAACATAGGCTGTTTGATAAGCTCCTTGTCATCAGTCTTAGTGATGGTTTTTTTGGATTTGACACCAAAAGCAAAGGAAACAAAAACAAAAATAAACAAGTAGGACTCCATCAAATTAAAAAGCTTCTGCACAGCAAAGGAAACCATCGACAAAATGAAAAGGCAACCTGCCAAATGGGAGAAAATATTTGCAAATCATTCATCTAATAAGAGGTTAATATCCAAAATATATAGAGAACTCATACATCTCAATAGAACAAAATCAAACAATCTGACTGAAAATGGGCAGAGGACCTGAATAGACATTTTTCCAAAGAAGACACACAGATGACAAACAGGTACATGAAAAGGCTCTTAAAATCACTAATTATCACATACTAGACTAATTGGGGAGATCATTTTGTAAATTATATAAATGTATCTCATGGTGTACATCTGAAACTAATATAAAATAATATTGACTGTCAACTGTAATTGAAAAATAAAAATAATAAAATGATAAAAAATAAAATCATTAATCATCACGGAAATGCATATCAAAACTATAATGAGCTATCACCTCCCACCTGTTAGAATGGCTATATCAAAAAGAGAAAAAATAAGTATTGGTGAAAATGTGTAGAAAAGGGAACCCTTGTATACTGTTGGTGGGAATGTAAATTGGTGCAAACACTCGGAAAACAGTATGTAGGTTCCTAAAACAATTAAAAATAAAACTATCATATGATCCAGCAATTTCACTTCCAGGTATTTACCCAAAGGAAATGAAAAGACTGACTCAAAAAGATATCGGCACCCCCGTGTCCACTGCAGCATTATTTACAATAGCAAAGACACAGAAACAACCTGTCCACAGATGGACGAATGGATAAAGAAAATGTGATGTATGTATCTGTGCAGTGGAATACTACGTAGCCATAAAAAGGAAATTCTTCCTTTTGCGATAACATGAATGAACTTTGACAGCATTATGCTAACTAATATAAGTCAGGTGGAAAAAGACAAATACTGTATGATCTTACTTATATGAAGAATCTTTAAAATAATGAAATCATAGATACAGAGAACAGATTGGTGGTACAGAGGTGGGTTGTGGGTGAAATGGGTGATGGTGGTGGTCAAAAGGTATAAACTTCCAGTTATGAAATAAGTAAGTCCTGAGGATTTAATACACAGAATGGTGACTATTGTTAATAATACTATATTGTATATTTGAAAGTTGCTAAGAGAATCTTAAAAGTTCTCATCACAAGAAAAAAATGTGTAACTCTGTGAGCTGAACTTTAACCAGACTATTGTAGTGATCATTTCACACCTGAAACTAATACAATGTTATATGTCAATAATATCTCGATTTTTCAGAAAAGGACTAAGGCCTAACCACCTCTTCCAAGAAATTTTCCCTGACCCACCACTAGCTACCTCGGCTGGCCCTCCTTTGTGTTCCCATCAAGCTCTTCCAAGGTTCTATCATTTCACTGCAATTATCTATTTAAGTGTTGGCCATCTCCATCAGACTGTGACCTTTCTTTTAGGCTGAGAATAGAGCGTTAGTGATAAGCACAGTGCCTGGCATGTAGCAGGCATTCTATAGAAGAGAGAAGCTACTTGCCACATGCAAGCCATTGCCAAAGAGGGTATCAGTAACCTTCTCAGAAACTTTGGCAACCAGAGTCAGTTGATTTATATATATCATAAGTGCTAAAAGAACAAAAAATGATCAGCCCAGAATCCTATATTCAACAAAACTGTCCTTCAAATGTGAAACTGAGACATTTTCATATAAAGAAAAGCTAAGGGAGTTCATTACCACTAGAGCTGGCCTGCACAAAACGCCAAAGGGAGTCCCTCAGGCTGAAATGAAGGACACTAGACAGTAACCCGAAACTGTATGAAGAAATAAAGATCTTTAGTAAATGCAAATATTGAAAGGCTAATATTAAGGGTAATATTAAATACTATATTATTTTAACTCTAATTTATAATGTCACTTCTTGTTTTCTACATGACTTAAAGAGACTAATTCATAAAAAATTATATGTTTGGACATACAATGCATAAAGGTGTAATTTTATGCCATCGATCACCTAAAAGGGATGGGAAATGAGCAGGAGAGAAGCAGTTTTTGTACTGACGTTTAGGTGGTATAAATTCAAATTCAATAAATAACTTTAGGATGTAAAATGTGATCCCCATGATAACCACTAAAAGAAAATAGCTATGGGATATATAGAAGGGAATATGCAAATAATAAGCAAGATAGATCACAAGTGGCTACAGCATTATCACACCAAAAAAGTAAATTTAAAACAAAAGGTTAGAAGAGATGAAAAAACATTATATGTTACTAAGAGGGTCGACATAGTAAAAAGAAATACAATTAAAAACATTATGTACTTAATGACAGATCAACAAAATATATGAAGCAAAAATGGACAGAACTGAAGGGAAAAATAGTTGTACAATAATAATTGGAGACTTAAATACCCTACTCTCAATAAGGGGATTGAAAAAAAAACAGACAGAAAATATGTAAGGAAGTAGAAGTGAACACAATAAATCACCAGGTCTAACAAACACATACAGAACACTCTACCCCACAACAGAGTGAACGTTCTTCTCAAGTGCACATGAAACATTCTCCAAGATACACCATATGTTATGCCACAAACTAAGTCTAAATTGATTTAAAAAGACACATATTATACCAAGTATCTTCTCCAACCACAACAAGATGAAGTTAGAAATCAAAAACAGAAAGAAAACTGGAATATTCACAAATTTGTGGAAATTAGAGAGTTGATTGGTTTTCTGAAAAGACTGACAAAGCTGACAAACGTTTAGTTAGCTTGACGAAGAATAAATGTTTAAAGAATCAGGAAATATAAAATCACCAGAGCGGGCCACAGTAATCACTGTTGCAGACAAGATCTTTAATAGTGGGCAAAAGTTCAAGGAAAAGAATATTTGCATAGTCTCAGAGCACTTCCTCTAAGATATTTATTAATTACAAAAGGGAATACATTAACTCTACAATGGAGAAAACTGGTAGACAACTGTTTAATCAACTGATCGAGGCGGACATCAGCAAGAATAAGGCGTATGGACATCATTTACTCCTTGATGTGATGCTGAGAAGGGCACCTGAGGATTCAAACCACCCCAGGTCTTGTCGGATGCTAAAATGTCATACTGTTAATCATTTTGCTGTGAACAGCATATTTTTCTTCAAGAAATTAATAAGTGGATTTGTTGGGAGAAGTAGCAAGCATCTACATCAATTGGAATATTCTATCAGTTGTGAAATACACCCAGTTCTGTACAGTTACTCATGAAAGTATAATTAATTAGTGAGATAAGATAAGCTCCAAGTGAGGCTTATGTACAAAAAGAAAACAGAATGGAAATGATATTTTCTCGCATGACACACACTAGGTGGTAATAATAATAATCATAGCAAATATTTATAACAATAATGTATTTAATTTTCCCACTATTTTAATTCAATTTTATTTAATAATATATAAGTAAATGTATTCGTTTATTTAATCCTGACAACAACCCTATGAGATGATGAGCACTGTTATCATCCTCATTTTGCAGATGAGGAAACAAAGGCATGAAAAGTTGAGTGATTTGTCTGAGATCATTTAGTAAGTAGCAGAGCCTACTACACTATACTACCTCCCAGAAAATAAGAGTTCAATTATAATACATGCTAGGTACTGTGCTGAATACTTTACATATCCTAATCTTCATAATATTCCCATCCAGGAATTTTTTTTTCACAAATGAAATTTTTACAAATGAAAAAACTAAGACTGTGTTGGGCTGGTCAACGTGGAGCAGGATATTTAGCATGTCTGGCCTCGTCCAGTAACCGTCAGTAGTTTCTCCTCCCCTGGGTCACTGTGACAAGCAATATGCTCCCCCACACACATTTTCAAATGTCCCCGCGGGAGCAGTACCCCGCAAAAAACTAGCTGTTAAAGGTCATGAGGCGATAAGATGCAAAGCTGGGGTACGAAGCCAGGCCTGTGTGAGTCCAGGTCGATGTTATTTCCAGCAGACACCGACGGGGTGGAGCTGAGATGGGGCCAAACGTACAAAGACAGGGGAGCACAGCTTCCTAAAGTGTGTGGAGCAACACACCCCAGATGCGGAAACTATTCCTGCAAACGACTGAAAGTTAATCTATAAAGTGTAAGAACAGTATTACATGACGCTTGTCGAATTAAGCAAGATGAAAAGCATGGACCAATTTAGAAAATACATCGGATGTGTCTGTTGAGGGAACTGGGATTCAACTCAGAACTCTGAGACAAATAAACACTTTATTTCTTTGTATAGGTCTAAGCCGAACAAAGCTATGGAGGAGGAGTGAAGGCCTGAAAAATTTCGAAGACTATCGTCTCTTTTAGTTTCATTATTCTAGTATTTTCAAATCTATTAAGGATGCTTTTCCATTGAACATTATATAAGCTATATCATTTATGGGTACAAGTCATCTATGTTATTCTAATTACTCTTTTATTTAATAAGAAATTCAGAATGTTAAGGGAAAATATTGAAAAGCAACATTAGTATAATTGGTGATATAGGTCACAAATATATAGTAAAAACAAACACACATGGAATAATTTCTATCTTCTCAAGGGAATAAAATATCTTCAGTATATAACATTCAGATATTATAAACTTTTAAACATTTTAATATTATAAATTTTAACATACAGATACTATTACAGCAGTAGTCTTCAATCAACATTTTGGTTATTTAATGGAATTTCTACACTAATCATACTCATGCATGAGCACACACACGTGTGCATAGCATAAACAAAAATTTCAGTTACCTTTGCAATAATAACTTCTTTCTTCAGAATCTTCATTGCATAATATTTCCCACTTGCCTTCTCTCGAACCAAAATAACTTTCCCAAAAGTGCCTTTACCTAGTAGTTTCAAATAGTCAAAATCATTCATAGTCTGAAAAATACAAGTGAAAAAATATAATATGAAATATGTGATGCAATTTACTTATAAATATATATGTATATATTTACAATATCCACTCAAGAGCAAATGTCACCAATTTCAGCACTACGTAAATAAGTATCAGACAGGCGCTGCTGTTCCTTCAGCAATCACGGATGATTCATAAGCGGTTCTCAGACAGTGAAGACAATTTTGAACCCAGAATTCCTCAGTTACTCAAATTATCAGTCAAGTATAAGGGCAAAGGGAAAATAAAATAATTTTCATTCACTTCCAAGGACTCAAGTTGTTTAGGATTTAGTAGTGCCACTACCTCCAGACAGTGTAATAATAAAAAATATCCTGATGACATTTCCAAATACATACAAAGGAGCAGTACTTTTGAAGAGAGGTATCTGAGAATGTACTCCAGTAAAATGAGGATGGAATCCAATAAAGAAAAAGGTATGTGTATAAGAAATGTTGAAAACAATCCTGGAGCCCAATGAAAAGAAATTTAAGACAGAGAGCAGTACAACTTTCAAGAAAGCAATTAAAACGCAATTCAGAACAGGAAGTCAGGGAGCCCTAAGAATGTCTTTAATTGATCTGCCTGTCTTCAGTTTCATTTCTCATTCCCATTTCTAAATCAAGTGATTCCCAAGATTTTGCCAAGCTGGCCTGGAGTACTTGCTCTCTCTAGGACCTTCTAAGCATGCTTTTCCTGCTGTTTTATCTATCAACATTCATCTAGAAACTTCCGAAATTTTGATATTGCCTATCCATTAATGCCTTTCCCCCATTCAGTTGGTCATTTTTGTGGACTTGTCCCTTTTTAAAATTCCTTTACTATCATTTTAATAGGCTTTTAGATGGAAGGGGAGGTAACTAGGTAAGCCCGGTTTATCATCTTAAATTTAAATTCAGTTTAGATGGGTTTATGAATTACAAGTTAAAGATCTGGGTTTTATCTTATAGACAATCAGAAGTTATTGCAGATTTTTGTGCCTTTTTTACATTATTTTTTCCTGTTTACCAATTTATAAAGTAAATCTCAAGTAAATGTTAAAAATGTCTCAAATCAATGACCTCAGCTTCCACCGTATGAAACTAGAAAAAGAGGAAATTAAACCCAAAAGAATTAGAAAAAATGAAATAATAAAAATCAGAGCAGAAATCAATTAAATTTTTAAAAAGAACAAAAACAGCAGAGATAATCAATGTAACCAAAAGCTGATTCTTTGCAGAGATCAATAAAATTGATAAACCTTTAGCCAGATTGGTCAGGAAAATAAAGACAGAGATGCTAATGACCAGTATCAGGAAAGAGAGGTGGTGTCACTAGAGATTCTATAGATATTAAAAGGATCATAAAGGAATATAAAGATTTATATCCATGAAATTGACAACTTACATGAAATGAACAAATTCCTCAAAAGTAATACAGTTAAGTCCTCACTTAACACTGTTAACCAGTTCTGAGACTTTAAATGAAATGACACATAATGTAACCAATTTTACCACAGGCTAACTGATTTAAACACAGGTTACATTGTTACAGCATCTCATCCATGTTATAATGAAACACCGAATGAAAAGAAAACTTATTCGAGGACCTGCTGTAGGTAACTTAAATAGCCCTATACCTATTAAGGAAATGGAATTTGTAGTCAAAAATCTTTGAACAAGGAAAACTACAGGATCAGATGGTTTTGCTGGTGAATTCTACAAACATCTATGGAAAAATAATACCAATTCTATATAAACTCCTACCGAAGACTAAAAAGAATACTTTCCTATTCTTTCTACAAGGTTATCGGTACCCTGATACCAAAACCAGACCAAAACACTCTAAGAAGACTACAGACCAATATCCCTCATGTAAATATAAAAATTCTAAACATTTTACAAATGAATGCTTATATTGATTTGAACATTTGCTGCTATAATTTTAACAATTTTTCCAAATGTTATGTGTTAATCACTCAATATCTAGTTCAAAAGAAAAGTAGCAAAAGATAACAAAGTACTTTATTAACTCAAATAAAAATCAAAGAAGTGGGACTAAATATACAGAATGTGGTTAACAAAGCTAGTGACACTTGAACATCATTTAATTTTCATTAATATATTTTAAAAATCAAGGGATACTGCAGAGCCCCAAAGCTACTTGTGCTAGGTAGTCAGTCTCCAAAGACGGATGCTACTAACTCTCTCTTCTCCTTGTGTGTACACGCCATTCTCCCCATTAAGAGGTGGAGTCAACTTCTCGTCCTGGGCTGGCATTTATCTTGCTCGGAACATGGAATAGGATCAAAGTGATGCTGTGCCAGTTCTAGACCTAGCCTTTACGCCTGTCAGCTCACGCTTTCTCTCTCTTGAAAAAGTCATTCTTGAAAGCCAGCTCTCGTGCTGTAGGAAGTCTAGGCTATTTTGCTGAAGAGAAGGGCCACGGAGTGAGGCCCTGGAAGATGAAACACCACAGAGAGAGAGAGAGAGAGAGAGAGAGAAAGAGGGGTGATCACGTGGAGGAGAACTAAGAATCCAGACACGTGGGAAATGCTTCCTTGAATTTCCGGCCCAGTCCATGTGCTGGTTGAATGCAGCTGCTTGACAGATACATTGGAGACCGGCAGAATGGCCCAAGCAAACCACAAATCATGAGAAATAATATACTGTCATTGTTTTAAGACACTAAACTTGGGTAGTTTATTCCATGGCAATAAAGACATTATTCTCATAAACAGGCCAAAATATTGTATTGCTTAAAGCTTCATTTGAGCAGTATCTTCTTCGTTTGTTTTTTTTTTTAATCTAAAAGCACAGAAACATGGTACTTGTTATGTCCTGTTACTAAATGTTATATAAACTCAAACTGAATTCTTAGGAGTAAAAACTTAAAAAGAATTTGTAAACTGCTTTATGATGTTTTCACATGAAAAGCTTATATAATTATAAAATAGTACGACATTCTTTTAGGACTGCAATTCTTAGGGACAAGGAGATTTTTTTAAAAGTATGACAGCTTTAAATCTAAATTTCAGAGATTCTGTCAGTTCGACTGTTCCTCTTTTAAAAAAAGAAATTCGCATGGAAATTGATATTAGTAAAAAAGCATTCTATGTGATAAAACAAAAAAACAGATTTCATATCTATTTTAACAAAACTTCAGAACATTTTAAAAAGTATCTTTGATACCAGATGCTCATGTTCAGTGAAGTCTACACAGTGATTATCTAGTCTTTACAAATGAAATGTAACCTATTACAAAATGTGTCTTCTTTTGGATGGTGTTAAGGGAAAAGATACAATAAGATTTTGATAAAAAAATGAGAGCATGAATACACTCCAGAAAAATTAATCCTCCAAAACCCGATCCTGAGAATTTATTAGGGAGTTTTTTAGATAGCTAAAAAACACTTTCCTTTACACAATCTCTAACATATTAGTGTGGCTGTTTCTAGTTAAGAGATACATGTGCATATAGCAAATGCTTAATAAATATATTCAAATCATGCACGCTAGAATATAAGAAAAAGACTGTCTATTCCAAAATTAGGTTAAAAATGTGAACATATAATTGAAGAGGAATGTAAAGGATCTCTCAGAAAGGAATACAGAGGTTTTAGTCAATTTGGTGAAAAAGGATAAATTCCTCCTGCATTTTATAATGTAAGAATGGAACCAAACAGAGCTCATGGGACACTAAGCGAAAAGGGAGGCTCTCAAGAGGCACGCCTCTCTGCCCATCTCCTCTGGGTCTCTTCCTCATGGGAACAGGAAGCGCTAATCTGATGGATCAAGTTCCACCCTGATGATGTCAGTGCTCCCTCTTCGAGCAGCAGGGAGCAATCGCAGATTTCAGCAGGCCCCACCATCCCTTCCCTTCTCTCTCTCTCCCAAGTGCTAACCGTTCCTTCGAGTTAAATAATCAAATTCCAAGAACTGAGTCATATTCAATGGAAAGAGAGGAGGTGTGGCTTGTCCTCTGTACCTAAATCATGAGATAGGCCACTGCTCCCAAAGAGGCCTACACTGGCCACACCCAAACTAAGCAAAACTGATTCCCATGTGACTGTCGATGCTTTATGCTGTGCCCCTCGCACCCTGACAGGGTACAGAGAATGGCAGCTCGACAGACCAAGATCAGGCACCTGAGTCCTCTAGGCAAATTCTTTTGAAACATCATCTTTTTAATTTAAACACAGAACAGCACTTAAGTGTGGTTGCAAGCCCTGTGCCTCTTTTCTCCAGGAGAGATTTTAACCTGCAGAGGGGACATTGTGGCCAGCCCTTTACCACTGGGGAAGTGCCCACCTGTGTGCTCCAGGCAAGAGCAAGCAATGAGGACAACTCCCAGCACGGCTACCGGAGTCAGAGATAATCTCTTCATGCTATCGCTCAATTTTCTAAAAGTGCATAGAGAAGAAAATGTGTTCTGTAAATTATGAGGAGGATATTCTTATTTCAGAATATCCATTTACAGTCTGAAGTTAAAAATAATCTGAACTTCCACAATTCCATTTATGATAGGTGATGCACATAAAGGATATAGTTCTAGAGCCATGTGTCTTAGGGAAGTGACAGTAACATTTCACCATTTTTAACCAAGTTATTAGGACTGTCATCGAAGAGGCAGTAGTACCATGTACTATCTTTTTTTGAGCTCTTTGTCATTTAAAACTACTTTATGCTATTTCATTTTAAATGAAACGAAGTTTAAAAAATGAAAATCGGATACAGGCCAATTAAGACAATGAACCCACCTTACCCCTCCAAATCAAAATATCCCTATCAAGTTTTCTTGATAGACTCAGTTTCAGTGGGAGAATTCTCAGAGAATCTGCTTTAAGAAGATGTGTATGTTTTTAACTATCTTATATGGATGATATAGAATACTAGCTCACAATAATAACGAATATTCATTGAGCACTCAGCACATAAGCACTTTCTACGTATTCCCTCATTTTAAGCAACACAACTACATGAGTTAAGTACCACTATTGTCTCCCTTTCACAGATGAAGGGACCAAAGAACAGAAGGATTAAGAAACTTTCCACACAACCGCACTCATGGTGGACCCCAAACTCGAAACCTGGCTATAGGACCCCGAAGACCTCACTTTCTACCACTATTCTGTAATATTAAAATTCTCCTGATTTTTTTCCAAGAGTGCTCTAATTGACTAATATCCAAACATTATTTATGCCCAACAGTTTGACATATAATTTGAGAAACAAAGTACAATCACAGGAGAGAATACCTGTGTAATATAACTCGGCTAGGAGAATAACGATCATAGAGATAAGTGAGGCTCAAGATCTATGGATCGATAAAAAGAAACAAGCTGCGTACTGAAGTTGCGCAGTGTATAAATGAAAGTCCTTATGTGTTTGAATAAGATATTCAACTTCTCTAAATGCAAGATGACTCACCTGGAAAATGAGATAACAGCACCTACCTCAGATGATTTCTGTGAGTATTAAATAAGATAATCTATATAAAAGTACTGCTCAGAGGCTGGAACAAAAAAGCTCATAATAAATGCTTACAAGTGTTAATTAGTGTAAGTGATGAATTCTAAGATAATCCACACTAGTAACTGTGAAAAAAGGAAAATGAAATATGTTTTTATAATTATTAATGACCAGCCTTAACAGAAAATAAAATCCTCCCATACTTTTCCATTTTTACATCTTTCGTCTCCATTCAACATTCGTCTGGTAAATTTCCATATTAGTTTCCAAAATTCTTCCATCCATCAGCAACAGCATTTCTAGTTAGGATGTTATAAACTCTCCACTTTCAACCTCTACCTAACTCAACAGTTTCTTATTATTCATCTTTGTTATTAAGCAGAATTTTAGGAATTCCACAGAATTAAATAGGGTATAGCTAGTATAGCGTGTTATTGAATAGAGTAGTTTGTCACTCATAAGATGAGATTAACTGGAATCTAATTTTAAATTACGAGCATAATTTCAAGTTAATTTTGTACATGTGCACATACACTTACAAAAGAAGCTTTCTTATCTCTGAGTAGGTGGCTAAAGCTAGACTGCGGTTTTATTTTTGCAATGAGGAGGAACAAGGGAGGTTAAGTTGACTTATAAGTAAAGAGAGGTTCAATTCAGCCAACGAACAGGGGATAAATCCATACAGAAGACCCAAGAGGCTGTCAGACAGTTGGCCAAGATCAAGTGCAGAATATCATTCTCATTAGAAGAGAAATTTCAGAGAAGGATAATGAACGAACTCTAAGCCGTGCTGTCCAACTTCACCACGTTCACACGTTTCAGCCTGCAGAGCAAGGAGGGGTTGCGCTCGGGCAGAGTCTGACGCCAGAGAGTTCTGAATCACTGTGCTAACACGGAACCACGTGGATGATCACCTTAAAACTCAGCATTTTCCTATCTGAAGATTAATTTAATCTATTACATCAAACATATTCTAACATGATAAATGCCACATTCACCTATTTTGAACACCTATATCTTTAATCTTAAAATACCATTTTTTACATAAGGAAGTTGCTTTTCAATTTTCTACAGCAGTAAAAAGTATAGTTTACAATTCCCATAAATATATAAATTAGCGCTTATTATTCTGCAGCCCCAAGGGAAGGAAAAGTCCGTTTCCTTCACCGGCTCAGGAGCAGCCATTAAGATAAAAAACGATTAGTTCCAAGATTGTTCAAAATCTAGGGAGGCTGGGGCCTGAGCGGGAGGCACACCAGAGCCATTGCTGCTTCTGCCTTCAGGAGCAGACAGAATGCCAAATGGAAGAGGACCAAATCATTAGGAGAACGTTTTATTTCCAAGTTTCTAAAATGGTATTAAAAACAATAAGTGAAAAATAGAAGTTACAAAGCAGCACTGTGGCACCTCCATCACGGTCCCCAACAAGCCCTATCAGCAGCGTGCAGAGCTAAGCGCTGAACCAATGAAATGCTGTGATGTTTCAATTATGTGATTTTAAGTGACAGGTTATTTCACTGAATAAACGCCAACCATGCCCATATGAGATACTTAGCTGACATTTTTTTTCCGAATGGCAGTTTGGGGCATATTTCTTCCATACACATAAATGTGCTGAGTAGGAGAATAAATTACTACTTTCTACCTTTCTTTTATGATGAGTTGTAGAAGCATCCATCTCTTCCTCCCCTATGTTATCAATCTGTGAAGTTGGACTACAGTTCATTCTCTCCTCTTCTTGCCTCTGAAGTCTGTCTGCTACAGCCTGAATAGCTTCTGTCCATTCTTCCCTATAAAAACAAGTAAAATTTCTCATTAATAGAAGATGGTAAACAACCTGAATATCCTCTTTTTATAAAATATGAAATGTACACAAATAGTCTATTCCAGTATAACGCGTGCGCACGCGCGCACACACACAACACACACACGCACACACACACACAGTCTCCCACCTTTCCCTCCAAGGCGAAACTCGCCCCACAGGCCTCTTACATCACAGGCCTAAGGCTGGCAGCCTTTGGAGGTACGTTCAATGAGAAAAAGAAAAAAGGGTCATAAGAAAATTCAGTTAAAATCCTTTAAACGTACAGCTAAATTTTAACTGTCTGTACACATCTTACCTATAAACTAAACTGACGCCAAAAAGTTTGCTGCATTTTTTGAATGTTTCGCTTAGCTGTTCTAAGTCCATCACTGACATAGTCAAGATCTTTACTGATCTTTACTGTGGTCCAACAGAAGTTCTAGGAAAAGGTTCTCAAAGCCAAAACCTTTCACTGTTCCCAGATCACAGATAAGTTTCATTTTTTAAAAAATGACAGGCATAAATTATAGCTTAAATAGCAAGGCTCTTGAGCACCGGTATAAAGCTCTTATTTTTTGAGAGTTGTCTCATCAGATCAAGGATCATTTATTTTTCATATAAATTTTAAAGTCAGCTTGCTGATTTCTTAAAGTCTATTAGAATTTTCAATGGAAATGAATGAAATCTAAAGATCAATTTGGAAGAAACTGCCATATTAATAAAATAAGTCTTCCAAACCATGACCTTGGTATAGCTCTCCATTTATGTAGGTCATTAGTTTCCAAATGCAGTGCTTTGCAATTTTTCTGTGAAAAGGTCTTGCGCATCTTTAATTGAATTTATTTCTAAGCATTTTTTTATGCTATTGTAGAGGGTTTTTATTTTTGATTTTGTCTTCTAATTTTTCTTGCTAGTACTTAGAAATACAGTAGCTTATTGTATGGTGTCCTTGTATCCTGCAGTCTTACTAAATCATTTCTTAGTTCTAATAGCTTTTATTTTTCTGGATTTTCTACATACACAACTATGTTGTCTACAAACAAGGGCAGTTTTACTTCTTCCTATCCAAACTATGTGCCTTTTCTTTCTTTTTCTCGCCTTATAATGCCCTACATCAGACCGTCGGTACCACGTTAAATAAAAGTGGTGAGAGCAGACATTACTTTGTCCCAGATCATAGAGAGAAAGCATAGAGCTTTTTACCTTTAAGTATTATATAAGTTATAGGATTTTTTGTAGATAACCCTTAATCAAGTTGAATAAGTCCCCTTCCCTTCCTAGTCAACGGTGTTTTTGTTATAGAAGGGTGCTGAATTTTGTCAAATATTTTTTTTTGCATCTGTTGATCATGTAGCTTTTCTCCTTTATCCCGTTAACATAATGAATTTAGTTGAATGATTTTCAGATGTTAATGCAACTGAATTCTTGGGAAACTCCATATAGTCATGATGTATTATTCTTTTGACATGTTTTTTCAAATTGATTTGTCAAAATTTTGTTGAGAAATTTTACATCTATGTTCACAAGTATAATGGGCTATATAATATTCTCTTCTTACACTAGCTTTGCCTGCTTTTTGGAATGAGGGTGACAGTGGCCTCATAAAATGAGATAGAAAGTGTTCTCTCCATCATTATTTTCTGAAATAGACTGTGTAGGACTGGTAATATTTCTTTAAATGTTTAACAGGATACACCAATGAAGCCATTTGGACTTGGAGTTTTCTTGAGGAAAAATGTTTTAATTACTAACTCAGTTTTTCTCATTCATATTAGGCTGTTCAAGTTTTCTGTGCTTCTTGGGTCAGTATTGGTAACGTGTGTCTTCCCTCTTTTTCCTTAATGATCTTCCAAGATATTTTTCAATTCTATTAATTTTGTTTCAAAGAACTAGCTTTCGTTTATTGATTAGTCTCTATTATTTTTTGTTTTCGACTTCACTGATTTCTGATCTCTTCTGTTTCCTTCTTTCTGTCTTGGGTTTAATTTACTCCACTTTTCTAGTTTCTTAAGATAAAAGCATTTATTACTGACTTGTCTTTCAGCACCTATCCTTAGAATTATAACATTCGCCCTCAACTTAGCAAAGCCTAATACATCCACACTTTTTACTAGTCCCAGAACATCATAAGACATTAACTCTATTTTTCCATCAACTTCAATTTACATATTATTTCAGATATTTTCATTCTATATAATTAAATCACAAACTTATTATTATTCATAAAAGCAATAATCATTGGGCTTTGTAAATTTATTTACTATTTTAATTGTTTTTTTTTTTTCATTCCTTCTTGCATCTCTCCTCTCACCTGGAAGTATTTTTACTCTGTCTGAAAAATACTCATTTAGTATTTCCTTTACTGCAGGTCTGGTGAAAATCGCATCATTTTTTGACTGAAATTATTAAAAGACTCCATTCCTTATGTTCCATGTCAATTGTTTCTGCTGTTATATCCTTTTTGGTCCAAATGTTCTTTCTCTGAAGGCAAAGTATCTTTTTTTCTTATCTGCTTTGAGGATTTTCTTTTTGGTTGTTTTGTTTTGTTTTTGGAAGTGGGTTTTCTTTGCGTTTTTCCTCATGGGATTTAGAAGACTTCTTGAATGTGTAGTCTGATATATTTAGCCATTTTAGAATGTTTCTAGCCATTATCTCTTCAAATACTTTCTACTCTATTCTTTCAATCTTATTTTTGAGACACTAATTATGTGAATTCAAGACATTCTTACTGTATTCTCTAGTTTTGTACTATGTTCTTACCTATTTTTATTTTCTATCATTTTAACTCCATGTTTCATTCTAAGATACTATTATAACCTATCTTTGAGTTCACTAATTTTCCATAATGCTAGATCTAATTTAGTATTAAAACCACTCACTAGCAATTATAATTTCGAATATTTTATTTTTCAATTTTAGAAATTACATTTGATTCTTTTAAAATAAATTTTAGCTCTCTGCTGAATCTCCCAGCCCTAATTTTTATTTCCTTGAACATACTAATATATAATTCTTCTAATCACTGCCTGATAAAACTCCATTTTTTAGAGCCTTATGATTATGAATCTGATTCTGTTGTCTGTTCTGCCTCTGTGGTTTTGGTCACATTGTCTTGCATCATTGTGTATTTGTTTATTTTTTAATAAGTCTTGAACAATATACATGAAAAAGAGATAGGGGCCTAGGAAGATATAATCTTCCTTTAGAGATTATTTATGTTTGCTTTTAAAAACCTCCTAGAAGACAAGCAAAAGTAGATCATGTTAACCAAATTTAAGGCCTGAAGTAATTTATAGCTCAACTTCAATCCTTAAAAGGTATCTGTATTCAGTTTACCCTTTCCTCTAGCATATAGTCCTAAAATGTAGTGACTTAACGTGCCTTCTCTTTGGTAGGCTCTGCATTCCAGAATACGACTCCCAGCTTGGAGACTTACTCTCCAAATCTCAACATCTAGAACTGGCAGGCACCCTTAGTGAAAGAACGGGCTCACCTCCCTGGGTTTCTTTCTTCCATAAAGTTTTGGCCCCATAATTCTTCATAGCCTTATTGGCTCTTGGATACCTTTTTAAAAAAATGTTTCAACCTGCTTTTCCAGTAGCTCTTAGTGGACCTAAATTACCTAATTCACCATAACTGAACTACACAGATGTACACAGTTGATTCTCGAACAATGTGGGTTGAAGACCAATCCCTCTTGCAGTTGAAAATACATATATAACTTTTGATTCACCCCAAAATTAACTACTAATAGCCTACTGTTGATGGGAAGCCTTATCAATAACATAAAGAGTTGATTAATACACATTTTGTATGTTATATACTATATTCTTACAATAAAGTAAGCTAGAGGAAAGAAAGCAATTAGAAAATCATAAGGAAGAGAAAATACAATTACAGTATATATAGAAAAAAATCTGCAATTCGAACATTTGTTGCTTGAGGGTCAACTGTACATATACCTGTTAAAGAGTACTGGGCCCAAATGTCTTGCTAACTGAAAGAGGGTATCCAATCTTCTAATTTTTAAGTAATGCTGGAAAATGCAGTCAGTTTGGAAAACAGAATGGATACCTCCATGAAAAAATAAATTCATTTTTCAAATATATATACCAATGATATAAAAACTTAATTTTTACAAGCTGAAATTTATTTGCAAATAAACATTTAATTAAAATGTCTAATCTGTGAGTGCTACTAAAGCCCAAATAAGCTGCAGCATAGTAAGAACTTACAGCGGAAGGGAAAACCTTGGCGTTGTGCATAAGTACGTGTAGACAAGTGTTATAGGTAAAGTGGTACAAGTGTGCACTGAGTGCAGTGGTGCTTGGGATGGGGACCTAAAGAGAGACGTGATTTGTAAATAGGGATGTACAAGATGAGTACTTAATAGCAACAGAGACAAGCAAGGGAAGATATTCCTGGCAGAGGGGCAAGAGAGCCAGGAATAGCCACAGGTGAAGTGAGAACCCACTATGGAACCAGTACTTGGGATCTACAAGCAGTTCAATCTAGCTGCAACGTAAGGGGGGGATGTGTGCACACACACGTATGCATGAGTGTAGTGGGGCCATGGCAGTGACAATGAAAGTGACCAGCTATAGGAAAGGAAATAACCTGGGTCTGTAGTGTGGATGTTCCTGTGCGGCATAATAAAGTACATATAGAAAATCATATTTAACAATGAATAATTTGAAGTAATACATTCATTAAATCAGAGAAAAAACAAATACATTTACCACAAAAATTATTTAATACCGCTAAAAGCACAGAGAAATAATAGATAAAACTATCAGAAAGGAAGAAGCAAAATTGTTATTGTCTGCAGATGCCGTGCTTGCAAAAGAATAAATGTTTTGAGTTACGTAATAAACAGAAACCATTCCTTCTAAATACAAGATATATAAGAAAAAATAATGAAAAATATCCTGATCACAATGGCAATAAAAATATAAATGTAAAATAGCTATAAATAAACTTACT